CTCTCTCTCTCTCTCTCTCTCTCTCTCTCTCTCTCTCTCTCTCCTCATCATTTCCTCTCTCAGAACTGAGCTCTTAGCTGAGCTGAGCTGCATAGACTGTGACTCTTGCCAGATAGGAGCAAAAACTCCCCCTCAGTTGCAGCCATAGACATGAGCAAATTCATCCAAGCTAATCCAGGCGCCTGTTGTGTTTATCTGCGAGTGAGATGGATAGGAAAAGGCCTGGTCTTAGAGTGTCAGGGGGGAGAATGGGGGTGCAGGCGGTTCATCTGTTGCTTATTGTCATCCAAACACAGATGCATTATATTCCATTGAACACAAGCCTATTGTCTGTAGTAACTGGCATTAGCTACAGGTTGTATTCATCTAACATATTGACGTAAGATTTGATAAGACGAGGTACAAAAGAGTCAAGTGTGACGGTGATTTAGTATGCACCTAGTGACCTCATCGCAGGGTTGTCAGGTAGGCAGTGGGACACGGCTCACCTACTTTAGCTCATCACACTCCCATCTTCCTTCTCCTCCCTCTGTCTTGCTTGTCCCTGATAGCTTTTACCGCTCTGCTGATTTCACAAATAGGCCTCATTGATTGAATCTGATTCTTCTGGATAGAGCAGCTTTATTGAGTGGCTTTTTCACTGATGGACAGGAGCGCGAGGGTGTGTTTGTTTGTTACACACACGCATGTGTGCATGTTAGGGATGATAAAAGAAAACATCCCTTTCCTCATTGCTCTCATTCTGTAATCCAGCAGCTATTCTTCTCCTGGGAATTTCAGCTTCCAGATCATTACAGACTCACACATGAAGCATGCTCGCAAAGGGTCCTAGTGATCGCTGTATCTGAGGTAATGTTTTATTGTGGGTTGGGCATGCTGACTGAGGAGTCTGTTAATTGTCACGACACCTTGAGCAAGGCAACATTAAAGTGTTAACTGCTCTCATTGGCACTGTCCATCATTCAACTAAGCGGTGCTTCTAGGGTGGGAAACTGGCCAAGTAAACCCGGAGCTACATGATTTAAGTCAATCCATCTCCACTCCAGCAGCGTCACTTTTTGGTTTTCTTCTCATCTCACCGCTCCCATCTGCAGCCATTTTAAATCTGCCATCTTAGCTGTTGCGTAGCTCAGACCCCGGCGCTAATATTGCCAACATTTACAAAACAGCAGTGGAATATTACACAGAACAAAAACAGAAAAGTAGGGAAATGTTGCAGGGGGAATTTGTATTTTGATGTGGGAAAATGAGCTTGTTTCAGATGTAAAACAGAAATGATCTGTCGGGGTTTGGGGGCTTTAGCTAACAAACTGTGTTAGTGAGAAGATGGGGCTGTATCAGCAGCCCTCCACTGAGGATACACACATTTCACACATAGCAGCGCACACCTCATCCTAGCAGCAGCATCTGTGCTCTTCCCCTCTTGCTGCCCTCTATTTTGTGTGTCTCTCCTCTCAACAGGCAGTGTGCCACCAATGTAGCATTGGATGGATGGTGGCACCCTCTTCCCTTGCGCCCATTTAACCCCCACAACCCTACAGATCCATCATTATACAACACACACAAACACACACGAGTAGCTCTAACATTCATATCCCAGCATGCATTTGCCCTGCTCTGCAGCCTGCTACACAGCAACCCCGTTATCTTCCTCTCCTATTGAGTCTCACCTCTAACAACCCCCCAAATGTGCTCATTATTTTGTCTGATTTCAAAATGTTAGTCAGTCGTTAGGTGCAGCCAAATGCACACCAAAGATCTGAGTCTATGCACTCATATTGCTGGGATAAGCCATGCTCACAAAGGCTACCTGCATTTTATTTGAGAGGGAAGACTACTAGTTTATTTAAATTATAGTTGGGAAGCAGCATGCCTGTGTGTTCGGTAAAGCTTGCGACATGTATAGGTTTAGCACAGTGGATATTGTTGTACAGCTCTACATGCAGTGGCAAAGGCAGAGATAAATGTTTGATTTATTGTTGTCACAATAAATTGATTAGGCTTTGAAAGTATTGTGCATATAGTCCCCTTCATGGTTTTCATCTGGTGAAGTTATGTTCCTATTTTGTACAGGCTTTTTCTCTTTACTTTCCCCATTTCTCAATTTTGTCTGGTACGACGGATTGGCTCCATTCCAAAGAACTGCTGACACAGTTTTTGGGGAGACATACACATAGAAGGAAAGAAAAAAAAAACAAGTGTTCTGACTTGTGTGAGTCATTAGTAAATTGTGACAAGCTTCTTTCTCACTTTTCTAGTCTTTTTTTTTTTTTGAAAAAAAAACAACTTTACAAGGTTGTAGAGGTCGTGGTCTGATTGACTTTGTGATGTAAATAACTAAAGATGATCACAGGGAACTGGAGGAAACCAAAATAGCAATGAGAAATTGGATTCAATAACTGGCCTTGTTTTAGGTGTGATAGGCAGCTATTTCAGGGCCTGTTCATTCATGTGTGCCGTTGTTTACATAGAGATTGTAGCATCTAATTAGTAGTGATCCTCGCTCTCTATTGAAGAGGGCTTATTGGCCCATGTTAGCAATGTTAGCCACTGACCTGGGCCATGTTCAGTTAGCGTTGATGCTGCATGTCAAGTGGTCCTGTGCTCACCTCTAAGTCTGATTATGAGGGAACAACATAGGGCTTGGTACTATTTAACAGCAGCTTGTGTGTGGTTGTGTGTGATTTAGGAGAAAGTGTACTGCTCATAAGGAAAAGTTTAGCTTAGGGTTTGATTTTGTCAGGAATACTACATTGAGAGTAGTATATTACCATGTTTTTTTGAACAAAATGAAAAAATGCTGAATCTGATTGTAATGCAAAGCTGTTGTTTTTTTGTTGTTGTTTTTTTTATTACATTATTTCAGCTCTGTGGTGCACATTGTCAATTTTTGATTAATGAAAGAATGTATAGGGTGTGTCTTGCATAACGATATTACAGGTCCTTGATCTGTTTCTTTAAGAAAAAGATCAGAAATATTTGGTGTGATTTTTGTACTTTTTAAGACATCCCCATTAAAAGAAGAGAGAGACAGAGCACAGTGTAGGTAGTGAGAGAATTTCTTTGCTTTATTAATTGGCAGCTCCGTGGTGCACTAAACATTGCGCACACACACACACATACACAACTGAATACTGTGTATACTCTGACGCCACTGCCTTATGTTTCGTCGAGGGAGACCAGCCTCTGTCACTTTTTCTCTTCCTCTCTTGGTGGCTGTGTTGAAGAGGAGTCTCGGGGGAGGCTTAACTCTGAGCCCTCATCTTCTCTCCTTTCTTTCTCTCTTCCCATCCACGTCTTTTCTTTCCTTATCGGCCTCTGAATGGAGCGGCAGGCTGTTGTTGAACTGTGAATTAGTCCAGGAGACAGACTTTGCACATAGGTAGAAAAGAAGAAACAGAGGAGGTTCAGGATTTGCCTTCCTCCTTTTGTCACAGGCACCAAAAACAGGCTAGCTTGCCTTACTCTGTGTGCACGTGATTTATTGACATGCAGATGCTGAGTGTACTTGAACCACCTGTCATTGTATTTGTGAGTTGAAGTAGGGAGCGAACAAGCATCACAATTTTAACTTCGGTTAAATAGCAGCAAAAGACAGAAAATCAATAGTTCACTTAAGGTTGACCTTAGGTCAGCAAGGCTTCACATACTCATCTCTGCACCTTTCAGTTTGGAGAGTAATTCACATAAGGCCCTGCTTAAATTATGATGTACAACCTGGAAAGTCGCAGGGGCTTTTGTGTTGTCATGGTTATTGAGTGTTCGGTAGCTTCAGGGGATATGGAGTTTGGGGGGTGGGGGCTGTAAAAAGAAAAGGGGGAGGAATGGATGGGTGTGCGTGGGAGGACGGGTGCTATCTTAATTGCTTTCCGTGAATAATTTCAGTCCCCTAATTTGGCGATAATGACAGTGGCTGCTGCTTTTGTATTTATTTATCCAAACATTAATTGACAGGACTGACATTAGCTAGGGCGGTTATGGCGCATTTGATTGCGCACAAGGGAGCAAGGAAAATTACAGTAATTATCATTCTGATATGGATTATGAATATGCATTCCCACACTTAATGTCTCTGTCAGCATTTTCGTAACAACAAGGCACTCTGCCATGACAACAGCACTTTCGCTTATCTCCATCTCTGTTTCCCTAAACCCAATCCAACTAGTGCTTGTGGAGAACAGATGACGTGTCATGTCCAAGTGATTTAGCTGCCCCATTGTAGCATTTTAACATCCAGACATGTGGTAAGATGAAATGGTTGTCATGTAGATTGTTTCATTGTAGATTGGCCCTGAAAAGGGGCCTCAGCTCATGTGGAATTAGTGTGCGGTGTGTTTTTGTGAACGCATATTAAACTTTTGTTTTTCACAGGCGGAGGGAGAAGACAATTTGAAGAAGATGCAGCTGATGGAGCTAGCTATCCTAAATGGGACATACAGAGACAATAATGTCAAAACACGTAAGTGAACTGCAGAGAACACACACAGATACCCACACCCACAATTTACACTATCCATCCGTTTTGCACCATACATAACTAATCTTTTAACTGCATAGACTACACTTAATTATATAAGAAAAACATCCTATTTTTTACAATTATTTGTCAATAACTAACACTATTTACCTCCATTAAGTTTGTCAAGTTAGAACTAAACTGTACATATCATCATGTTATCTCTGACCACTACCAGACCTGTTTCCCAAGCTCTCCAAACTATTCAATTTGTCTTCCACCCATGAGTAGGACTGTTCCTATTCTGTTTTTCTCCATATTTCTTTCCTCCTCAGCCATTCCTCCATCCGTCCTTTCTCCTGCAATTGAGATGCTATCAGTCTGTATTACTTGCTCCTGGCAGACTTTCACCACATTGCTGTATTTCACTTGCGCAACTCTGCATGTCAGTCACGAGATCACAAACCTACAGTGTTTGTTCTGTAATCACCAACTGATATTTGTAAATGTAGCAGTAAATTATATGCATTCCACACATTATACTTGTATAGCAGTTTGGTCCAGAATTTGCATGTTTTCTCTGGACCTTAAATGGGTTCTTAATTATATTTCAAAATGTAATTATAAACCCACGTATATAATGGCTTACCCTGTACATTTGGGCTCAGATTTATAATATGAAAGTTTAAGTGACTGAATTCCAGCTTTTCTTATTTAACATCTGCTCAAATGGCAGCCATGGTGGACTAGCCCGCCACCTGACCGCAGTATTAGTAGCACTCGATTAAACTGACCCGCCTTTGGGGAAGCTTCTGTGGCACGGCTCATAGCGAGTGCTAACGCATAACCACTTCAAAAATTGTATTTGTATGTTTATTTATCATCCAACCTAAATTGACTGCTGACTGTGGAGAGGATCAACATTTTCTCTAAACTACTAACAACTTCAAGTTTTATGTGCTACCACACTGACCTTTATATCAAATTCAAGATTCTGTTTATGTTTTCTTGTGTAAAGAAAAAGAAATGCTTCCTCCTCTATGTATAGTCAACAGCTCTGTTTCTGTTGGCATGTGTGTCATTTACCTCACCCATGCCATTTCCAGTAGATGAATGTGTAGCTGCTATGGTGATTGGTATGCTTCAAATGCATTGCAATGACAGCAGTATTTTGTGCTTCTTGTGTTTTGGTGTACGGGTTTTTTTTAAATTTGTTTGGCTATGTTGACCCTTTTTTTTTTTTTTTTGCAACAGATTGTCGCTTTGTGGTTCACCACCATGATCATTGCATGAACTAATTTTCCCTTTTGCTCCTCTTCTCTCCTCTCTCTCTCTCACTTCCCGTCCCCCTCCCCTCTTTTCCGCCTTTGTATTTTCACCCTTCACTGTTCCTCTTTGGTAATGATCAACCACACTACACTTTATCTCTTGTCCTCTTTATTTCTTTCTTCTCCTGTCCTTCACTCTCTTGCTTATGGCAGCCACCCTTGCGTTCTCTCTTGCAGCGGCAGCAGCAGCCGCTCAGGGCCCCCGCCTCATAGCGGCCCCCACAGGTCAGGTGTTGCCTCCCCCGGCACTCCGGCCCCCAACACCAGCTGGGGCCCCCATCATGAACCTCATCCGGCCCACTCAGATGGCTGCCATGCTGCCCAATGGCACCCCCACCCTGGTGCCTCCCACACCGGATGCCGGGCTTATCTACACCACCCCTTACGAGTACCCTTACGCCTTGGCACCCACTTCCCTGCTGGAGTACCCCATCGAGCACAGTGGGGTTCTAGGTAAGAGAGCCTGGGGAAGCATGGGTGCAGCAGGTACAGCGGCCAACTTTAGCCAGCCTGGACAGGAGGGCAGCTTGTTTTACCCCGGAGCTGGGGTGCTGGACGCGGCTTCCATGAGCCACAGTCAGGACTTGTTGAAAGGTAAATATGTCGTGTCCACCTGAGGATTTAAAAAAATAAAAATAAAAAGACAAACTCACAGGGTGGATGTGTTGGTGAAGCTCTTGGTGATGGGATGACCAGCTCATATATGTGGCTCATATGGACACTATATTAAAATGGCAAAGGGGGACAAAAATTACCTTTTGAGGGCTAGGCTATTGGAAAAGTCTGTTTATAATTTAGACTGAGGTTATTTCACTGTTTTAGTTACACTCTCGTCGAACAGTTGCGCTCTCAGGTTTACATTGCCTCTTTTCTGAAAGGTTTCTATAGGAGGACTTGCCTCAGTGTGAAATGAGGCAGATTGAAAGAAATACACTCAGATACACGCAGCCTGCTCTCTAACCCTTTCATGCACTGGCCTGGAGGCATATTCAGTCTGGCGGCAGATCCCCTTGGATTTCTGCAGCTTTTGAAATCATTTCTCTGTGCTGTTCTCTGCAGGCAGGCCTTGATGCCTGTAGATAGTCCCTCTCTCACTCCCACTGGGGATGTTCATTAAATTCCTCCAGTCTTTCCTTTTTTCTCCTCCTTCCCTTCTCTCCATTGTTTTAGCTTCACCCCTCTTGAACTGGAGCTCTGTGCCAATACCTGACGTTCCCTTTAGCTTCTATGTCAGGAGGACAGCTCAATATGAGGGTCTAGAAGTTTTTTCTCAATGGTGCTTAAGCTCCACACATCTGCTACCAAAGAGACAACTGAACATCTCTTGAAGAAATAGTCAGATATGTAGTCCATATGTTATACTGAGGCTGTAGTTAAAAAAGTAAAGCTGTTTCCCTCGCTAAGACAGCAGAGGTCTTTGTCAGTTGCTTTCCAGCTTTAATTTGACACAGTACTCCCCTAATGTTGTCCACAGCAGCAGCAGACACAAGTGTGATTTTAGCTGACCTGTGTATTTGAGATGCCTCTGGGAGTCATGTGTAGAACAGACAGGGGCAGCTGACTGGCTTTTCTCTCTTTAACTTGCAGGGTTACACCAGCTTAGTGCATTTTATTTACTCACACTATCGATTGGTGCCTTCAGCAACACAGGGCTCTGTGGAACACGCTCACACACACTCATGGACTTGGCGTGGCTGCCTGCGCTACTGTATCTAGCCACCATCGGCTTCTCTGAGAATAAGGAAATGTCAGGCCATCTGCTACTTCAGAGTAGTCTAGTTGGTTGCATAGTCATCAGCCAAAACCCGCTCTTTACAATGCCAGAACGAAATCCTTGTTGAATATTTTAACTTATTTTACATGTCCCCCTCTTCCTTTGGGAAGGCTTGATGTGTTTTTCTTAATTCCTATACGCATCATTTTTTTTTTAAATACTTGAACATACTGTGATCCACAAACAGTTTGTTTGTGTCATGTATATGAGGTGGCATCAACCACTGCAGGAGGAAGAAATCAGTTGTGACAAATATAGGAGCAAAATGACAGTCTCTGCCACCAGTGAGCAGATTGACCTGGAGAGAAATGGTGAAAGAGGGAAAGAGAAAATGAAGGAGAGAGGGAGAGGCAGGTGGTGTCTGGTACTATTCAATTACCATCAGAGCTGTATTGGATTTCCCCACCTTTCAAAATAAAGAGACAAATTTCTCTCAGTTCCCCTCTGGATCCCACAGGAAGAATCACATTATTTTTCTAGACAGCCCAGAAGCCTGTACCCTTTACCTGCCCCCTTTTCAAAGAGTCCCCCATAGAACTCTGAGCACTGTGGAATTTTAGTACTTAAGTTATGCATTTTAAAATGCCAAGTAAATCTCCAAAAAGGTGTATTATTTTTTTCTACTGCATTTTTCTACATGTAAAAAAAAACTGTGTGGTGTGTATATGTACTATAATCTGTATTACGTTAATCTGTGTATTGTTGTATTATCCAAGCATTATAAATGGTAATGGTTAAAAATGTGAATGTTGTTACTGTAAAAGATGACTGTTTTTCCCCTCCTCAAAGTGAATGGTTTCTAACCTTGTGGACCTGTTACAATCTAGGTGCAATGGCTACTAAAGTGAGACGGCATGACACGCGGGTCCATCCTTACCAAAGGATTGTGACCGCTGACAGAGGTCAGTTTAGTCTCTGAGCTACACTTTGCTATTGACTGATGCATTTCAATGATTATTATGCCTAATATGCCTCAATGCCTTAGTTGGGAATTTGTACATTGTCTGTGTTGTATTATTTTTTTTGTTTGTTTTCTTCCCCCCTACCACCTCTCCTACCCCATACATCCACACACCAGCTAAATGGTTGATTGTGGTATGCACATTTTGTTTACATTTAGTACTTAACATATACCATATATGTAGACTGTGTATATGTCAAAGCTCAGGCAAAAGTGATCTTAAAAGGTTTTGGTTTATGCAGCTGTGAAGCCAGGGCAGGTAGTTCTTTGCAGGCAGTGTTGAAGGTGTTTAATGACATTCCTCTGATGTGAGATTAGAGCCTAAAATGGGGCAGGCTTGTTCCCATACATGATTTATCTCCTCGGCTCATAAGGAGCAAAGAAAAAGGAGAAGCATTTCTATACTGTATCTGAGAGAGATAGCAGGCAGAAGATAAGTAGCCATGCTGCTACCAGGCACCATTTCACCTTTGAAATTTAAATTTATTTTGGATTTTTATTTTTCTATGGAAGATAGACACGCACAGACATAAGCTGAGGTAGCTTGCATTCTCTCCAATGTATTGCAAATATATTGAAATAAAGCTAAAATACACTTTTAATATTTCAGTTGTACATGAGGTACTGTCATTTTATATTTGAGCATTTTATATCAAATGTATTTATGGTTTTGTGTATATTTATACTATATAAAAATATACTGCTAAATAAAGAGAAAGAATCGGAAAACATCGATTCATCTATTCATTGCACATTTAACGCTAGTCACAGTTATCCCTCACGTAACAATAGTTATTGTTATCCAGTCTCCTTACCACTAATCACACTGTTTGTAACTTGCACTCGAACTTTAAAGACACTAAAACACTAGATTTTTGTTTGTCTGTTCGACCTCTCTCTGCTTCAGTTTTTTTGGTTCTGGGGCAATGTGCGCTTAAATTAAACCACCAAGCTACCTGATTGAGGGCGGAGCTTAGCAGTTGGGATCATGATGTGAAAACATCATGATGATAATGAGATTAGCTGGGTTCATCTCATATTGGCAAAGGAGATTAGGAGCAGGGGGCAACATAAGAGATTGCATTCATTTTATTGTTAAAATGATGTCATTCCAGTCTCTTCTTGCTGACACTAATATCTTTTCTATCTTTTTTTTTCTGTTTGTTTTGTTTTTGTTTCTAACCACCTAGCCGCCACCGGCAACTAACACATGACCTTCTGACCTCTGAACTCTTCACCCAATGACGAGCCGCCCCAAGCCTGCCTGCTGATCAGTTAACTGGTAATTGCCTTTTGCTAGCCTCTCGGACGCAAGTGAGAGAGAGAGAGGCACCTGCCCGTACAGTTACCCTAACACGTTCTGACAAAAAATAGAAACCTACGCAGAACCTTCACAGAAAACACAACAAAAACCCAACAAAAGTTGTGTATTATTCATTTTTTCCCTCTGTTCATTGAGTTCAATTCCCATTCTTTCTCTTTCTTTTTCTTCATGAATCATACACTGGGTGGATGTGTTTGTGGTATTACTCATAAATCTGCACTGAATTATATAGCAATAAAGACCCCCACCCACCCTCCTTTATTTACTCTGATTTGGTGACCTCACTTGTATGAATCAAGTTCAGTATCTATTTGACGCAAACCATTTGGTGGTTTCAGAGTAATGACATAACCCCACTCAAACGCCCCCAACTCCCACCCCACCCCACCCCACTCAAAATATGTATTTACTTAAGAGCACCTACCTGCTCCCACCCTTGTTCCAACATCCACCTACTGGGAGAGAAAAAGAAACAGAAGGAAAGAGAACATACACTCGCATTAACTTGTTTAATTTCTGTCATTATTCACATGTAGTTCAGTTGTTGAGCTCTAAAATGTAATTATGAGCTGACACATTCTGGGTGTGCCCCTCTAAACAGCTTTCTGTCAGTTTGTTTTGTTTTTTTTAAGCATGGCTGAAATGATTGCAAAAGGAGCTTTTTATGATTTATGTGTTTTTTCTTCTGTCTTTTTTATGCTTTTCTTTTGAGTCATTTTCTCCACTTGATTTTGGTTTTTCTGTTGTTCATATTTGACTAATTAGCTTTGCTTAAATAGACTAGCCACAATACAGCAGGTGGTTAACTCTGGAAAACAAAACGCAATCTAGTGTTTAAAGCAGGCTGCAGAAACTAAGAAATTATGAAGGGCAAGATGGGAAGCTCACTATTTGGGCTGATGGGTTTGTTTGTGTGCGTGTGTGTGTTTTGTTTTGTTTTTTTAAATTAATACTACAATGAAAGTAGGGTGTGCTGAGGCTTCGGGGACATTGGAGCAGTGCTTATTAGCTACTGGCCATTGCTACACCCCCATCCACACTACATCCACTATACAGTGCCTGATGTATTTAGAAAAATATCTCAATGAGTTAGCTGAGCTGTGATCACAAAGACAAAAAAAAAAAAGTATTAAGTGTGCATATTTAGCCAAAGGGTTTCCAGTGAATTATATCTGCAATTATGCATCTGTCTCATTGAGGGCTCTCTTTGTGATTTTAGAGTTTGGAAGGGTGTGAATTTTTGGTGCCTGCCTTCAGCTGGAACAGACAGCCAGTCAGTTAGATGATTTTTATTAGATTTTTTCTGACCCATTACCGCTCTATATTTTCTGAGGTGAACACAGGCAATTAACACTAAATCAACATGCTACTGGATTACAGTACATTGCTAGGGGGAAGGGCACTTTGAAGTTGTGTACATAAATGCTTTGCCATGATAACCTTCTTCTAAATTAAGTTGTTTCATCAGCCTCATTGCCAAACTAGTGTTTATTTCTTCATTTTTCTTTTCTTTTTTTTTTCTCTCTTGACATTTGGCCAAGTTTTGTATTTTTTTTTAAATGCATTTTTATTTTTAACCCCAGTTGAATATTTTACATTAGCCTGAACATGAGGTCGGCACAATCGGAGCCTTCCTGAAGATTAGTTACTTTTATTTTTGTTTGTTTTGATTATATTACTGATGAAACTTCACATGCCAAACCATCCAAAAAAAAGCGCATCCACAATGTGTCACACCTCCTGTGATCGTAGTCTAGTTTCTGAGCCCACAATCTTTTGTTCAACTCTCTCAAGAAAAAAATAGGATGTGAAAGCCATGCCTGCCTGTTCAAATTGCTTTATACATACGTCTTATATATATATATAAATATATATATATAAATATATAAAAATGTAGATATCTGTCATTGCATATACAAATACAGAAGAGAACAAAAAATAGATAATTTTACAGGGTGCTGGAGATGAGAAAAAAATTGAAAAATCTATTTTTGGCAATTTTAGCTTTTGATACTTTACTTGCAGTTACAAAATCTGAAAAAAAAACAAAATAAAAAAAGGTTTAAAACAGTATAGTGGTAAACAGAAAAACCAAGTGGGTGAGAAAAAAAAATGGTGTTACCTTGAATATGATTGGAAAGGAAGACGAAGACCAAAACAGTCATAACCCTTGGGAAGTTAGCGAGGATCAGATTGAGACGGACGCCTAGAGAGTTTAAAAGGATCAAATCAAAGTGCCTTATCAACAGTGGTTTCTGTTTTCTAGTATTCCAGTTGTGTTCAATAATATCCAGCACCCACCAAGACGGCGCAGAGAGGAATGGCTAGTGTTAAAAGCTCTGAATAGTCGAGCAGGGTAGCTCCCACCATATTGTGGTGTTACCGAAGTTATTCTATGCAAAAAGAATAGCAGTCGTTTTGACCAGCTAAAATATGTGCCATGGTTTTGTCTTCCTGAAATGATTTTTATTTTTGTTTTCCTTTACTTGCTGGCCCTTTACTCTGCTGTATGAGCAGGTTTTGTTTTCTTTTTATTTAGATATTACCATATGAAATATTGTCTGGATTTTTGGTGACTGTGACTAACTTCCTAGAACAAATTGAACTGCCAATAGCAAACCCAGTAGTCTGCCAGAACATGTTTTGATTATGAGCTGAGAAAAATACATAGAATTCAAGGGAATGAGTAGGAAAAGTGGGGTCATGGTCCCGCTGGCTTTCTGCCCGTTTGTTTCAACAGCTGCAAACTGAAAGCATCCAGTCCATGTCTCTCACTGTCAGTTTGACAACAAACTATCAATACAATCATGAGATTTATCATGGACAAATGAAATGCTGGATAATGAAACTGTGTTTCACAGCCAAATAGTTTTCAGTTATTGAAACAACTGACAGTTTATTGCTGGAAGGTGAAATAAACTCATAATATTAAATTGAGGAATTCTTAGATCCAATATAACCGTTGGCAGTTTGTTTTTCTATTCATAGCTCTTTCATCATGCTGTTACACCGAAAGGTCAATGAATTTTTCTTTTTCAGTGTTATTATTTTAAATTGAAATGCAATATTAAAGTGGAGCAAGAGATGGCTATTCAGCATTTGACAGTATTAAGAAAATTCCCTCTGCAATGTTACAACTTGCTGTGTCATTGTGAAAGGCTGGATAAGTCCATCAGGTGAAAGGTTGACTCTATACCTACCGTATTCTCTCTGGCCTGCCTACTACATGTATGATAATGTAATTAACAGCCATTGTTACAGGTTTATAATGTATTTTTCTAATCTCATTTTATATGTATATTAATCATGTTTCTGAGTGCTTTCTTTCTTTCTTTTTTTTTTTTTTTTTTAAATGAATCCCACTGCAACTTTTCCCCCTTAAACGGCCCTCCCTTCCTCACCCCGTTCTCTTTTACATCTTGAAATCTGTCTCTTGTTGGGAGTGTTGCCTTTTCCCTGTTATATTTTGTTTTATTTTCTTGCCAGTTTCCAGCTTGTTTAACTCATTAGCTACTTTATTAGTTTCCTTGTCATAAGTATTTTTACATGCTTGCATTTAGTTTTCATGGTGTATGCTGTTATTTTTCTTATTAACCTCTTGGCATTTATTTTAATAAAACATTCTTAGTAAGAATTTTACTAACTTGCTGATATTTTGTCTTGTGTTTTTAACCAGTTTCATGAATGTATTACCTTGGTCTGGTTCACGGACTAACACAATTAAAACCAGTGTCTGGCCACCATTTCCACTGACTGACACGACATAAACACTGACACACACACGCACACACACACACACACACACACACACACACACACACACACACACACACACACACACCCTAACTGGAATCTGCACGAGTTGATAAGCGTCGCTCACTCCCGCTCACGCACTCTCACCTCTGTGCTGGAGAAAAACCTGCTGACACTCTTCATACTCGCCCCGCTCAGTTACAACACTGCTGCTGTTGTCTCGTCGTCTCCCTTAGAGACGACTCTTTTGTTAGTTGTCCTGTCCTTCTGTGTCACTGACCCCTCCCCCATGAGACGGCAGGAAGTGTTGCAGAGGGGGTGGGTGGGTGCGAGCGAGGGAGGTTTAATAAGCTGCACGTTGCTTGAGGTCACTGGTTAACTTCTGGGTCAGCTCTTGAACAAAGCACACTCTGATTTTAAATGGATTTGTCTGTACACTCGGGTTACTCTCAAAGTAAAACAAAAAAAAACCCCGGTCCCCACAGAGAACATTTTTCCACAGACAGCCTTTCTCTTACCATTAGTTAGTGCAGGACTAATCACAACTGTGCAAAAAATAAATAAATAAATAAATACTGCACATTAGTCATCTCAGAAGGATTAATTTTACTGTGAATATGTAGAGCAGAACATCTCATCACCGCATATTATAAACGTGGTGAGTTATTTACAACAGACACTCGGGGCGAATTTCTAGATGACAGTTGTGTGAATGTCTAAAGCTGTCCGTTGTGGGGTTTTTTGTCGTCCCCTTCCCTTGCATCCGTGGCTTGTTATGCCTGGATAGCAGCATTACAGTTATCACCAGCTGTTGTCTGTTTGGTGAACACTTCTCCCCATTCAGCTTATTGATATAACGGCTAATACTGGGCCATTTGGGAGCATCCATAATGCTTAGACACACACCAGTACACCATGCCAATATGAAGAGCTTTGGGATCAAAACAACTTCACTATTTCTTCCAGTGTAAAATGCTGATATGGCTTTCAGCTCGCCAGTATTTATTGTTTTGGGGGAGATTTTTTTTTTTGTCTGAATCACTGCCAGTGTTCATCCTCCTACTGTGTCAGTGCACTCGTCCCTGGGTTCATTCAGCTTTCTTCTCCCTATTCAGCTTTCTTCTCTCTTCCACTAATTCGAGGTATTGACGCTGACACGCAAGCAAAAGATTAACTTCATTAATCCTGATTATTACTTTAACCCACTGAGTGGTGCCTCCAGATTTGTTTTTGGTTTTTTTCCCTCCTTTTTTTTTTTTCTTTTTTATAAATCTGCACAACAACTCGGCCTTAACTGCTGCAATTCTTTTCATGTCTCAACGAGCAAAGAACACAGATTAAAAGTGTCTAACATCAAACTTAACATTTCTCTTCTCTCTGAAATTAACATTTTGTGTCTTTGATCTGATAACAGGTGTTTTTCGCTAACACCTGCTTGTACGCCAGCAAGTAGAGGCAGAGATTGGATTACAGGCAGCCAAACTGTTGTTTTGTTTTTGTTTTTTTTTAACATTTTATGATGTTAGGCGTAAGCTTTTTTTATTTAATAATCATCAAGCATTGGCCTTTTGATTGGCTCCTCTGTGCCATAATGAGCAACCTGAGCTAAGAATCCGTCCAGTCCGTGTATTTGTGCTGTCACAAGTCTTGCCTTTTATGTCGGAGAGGTTTTCAGTGTCTCGCTCTTAAAAAAATAAAAATAAAAAACTAAAAAAAAGAGCTGATGAAAACGGCAGTGAAGCTATTTTCCGAAGCACAATGTACTACAAACACTGCCTAAAATATTGCAGCTGTGAGTTTGGGGGAAAAAAAAAAGTGCCTTTTTTCTCAGATTGGGAAATTATATATTTTTATACTGTTATCATTCAAGTGCCAATTTTCTGTCTCCCTTTATCTCGCCAACAGCTTTTTTGTTGAGCACAAAAAAAACTAAATGCCCGAGCTTCTCCTTTTTTTTTTCTGTTTTTGTTTCCCAGCACAATGTACATATTCTATTAAACTGGCAAAGTTTGACCAAATCATAGGGAATTTGGTCACAAGATGTTTTCCCACCATTAAACTTTGGCTTAATGGGTCCTGTTTTTGATTTGATCCACTGAGAACTTTTCTTTCTGATTGGACCACAGTATGCAGGAAGTGGCTGTTTGCATACTGCTGCCTTCTCTGGCTCTCAGTGCCTTTCCAAATCTGTCGCAAGGCATTCAGTGTATTTATCTACTAACTACCTTTTCACCTGTCAATCTTTTTATTATTTTTTTATTTTTATTTTTTCTTCTGTTTAACAAACATTCCTCCAATGAGTTAAACGGCAGGTTAACAAATCAGTATTGATCTCAGCGATGTAGCACTCAGGTGGTTAAAGGGCAAAAGCTACCAAAATACAGAATGAGAACATTTTTAGCCCCACTGGATTTTTTGTGTTTTTTGGGGGTTTTTTTTGGTTTTGCTTTTTTTTTTTTTTTCTTCTTTTGTTTGACAGTGATAAATATTCATTTAAAAGTTAAAAGCTTTTTTTTTTCTCCTAAAATTATACTAGAATGATATTATATTGTAAGTTCCTCATCCATATAGTGGTGCACTAATATCTGTGAGATCTTTGTGGAGTTGTAAGTTTTTATGTGAAGTAGTCTTTATTTTGTTTTGTGTTACCTTGATTTTATAGAAGGTTAGACTGAGAATTTTGAATAGGGTGTAAAACATGTAATGCCAGTTTTTGTTGCTCACACCAAAAAAAAAAAAAAAAGAAAGAAAAGAAAAGAAAAAGGAAAACAAATGTCATGTGTGCAATAAAGAACCATATTTACAAGCTTCCCTCTGACTGCTCTACCTGGACTGGTTCCTTTTGCTTCTGCGCTCTTTATCGGTGACGTCATTTCTCTGGATTTGCTGCTGTGACTTTGGGATGTTGAAGGTAGGTGCGGCACATTTGCAGGGTGGAAAAAAAAAAGAAAGTTCAACACTGGGGGGAAAAAAAGGAAAAAACTCTGGCCTAAACCCTTAAAGTGGGATCAAGCCCTCTCGTGGATTTTCATCTGATGTTGTTGCTCTGTGAATGTGAAATGTCAACCTTCTGAGAGGGTCACATAGTTAAAGCTTTCTGCCCGGAGACGGCATTCAGTGGAGTCATTGTTGCCTTTAGACGCGCTTTTGACATCTGTGCTGATGAACAACTGGTACATAAATCCTCCTGTTTCACTTCCAGTCGGTCCCTTTCACCTCTTGCAGCCCTGCATGACGGATGACAAGGATTTGGCATCAGGGTGAAAGTTGCAAATTCTACTGCAGACTGAGCACCGACGCTGTTTAGAGGCGGGTCTATGCAGAGTGATGTGTCATCTTGTCGTTGCTGCACAGAGCGAACTCATCACAGAGATCAACCACAAACTAAAAGCTACATGTACTGAATGAGCCACATGTGGAGTTTACATGCTTCCTGATAAGTGTTTAAATAGCTGTGTTTCGGGCATGAAATGTCATGTGACCATCAGTCAAAACTAATTCAAGAATGCCAGTGTTCTTATACTGGATGTTTAAATTCAATGTTATGCTTCCGTTTGCAAAGAAGAACTGATCCCAGGGTTTTGTGTTCTCTGTTTGTCCCCAGTGTTCTTTTTTGTCCAGAGTTCCTGGAAGCCCAATGGCCTGATTTACAGCTCAAAAAGCATTTTTAATTTTGTTTATACCATCAACAATTCTTCTGACTGTTAATTTTGAAAAACCACTTTCTTTAAAAGCAGTTTTTGGTGTGACAGAAAATGATTCTTTACTTTGGGGTCTCGAAGCAACTTAGCTGAATACAGCAGACTTCCATGTGCTTTGGACCTGTGATGGGTGTTTGAAGTGGTTTTTACACAGCGCCACCCTTTTTCAAATTAAAACTCAGTGTCTGGATTTGTAATGCTGCACATTAATGAGGTATAAAGGTGTCTAACTTGTCTTTACATGACTTCAGGGTAAATAAAAGATTTCTTCATGCACAGCCCATAGCAAAATCATACAAATATGAAATGCTGATGTAACTGGTGTAATAAAAATTATATATGGGCATTTATCACATTCATCAGGTGTGCAGGCTCAGCTGGTGTCGAATACATTAGATATTGCTTGAAAACATGCTTTATTTTGAAAAGGTCGAAAGCAAAAATGTAAATATTTCAGCCATGGAGGGCCGAGCTCGTTAACATCCAACTCAACTAAACAACTCTTTTACATCCATAATTGTGGCAAAACTTTACAGATTATTTCCAAAATAGCATCTTGTCAACAATGTCTACTATTTAAAAAAAGATCAGAGACGTGCTAACCTGGGCTCCGTTTCACAAAGCAGGGTCAGTGAAAACTGTTCACCCTGAAATGAGGGCGTTTTCCTCATTTCAGGGTGAACAGACTCAGAGTTTTCACTGACCCTGCTTTGTGAAATGGACCCAAGTACATCTCCACTACTGCTGGTGCCATCTGAATAACATCTTTGTCAAGGCTGGAGGCTGAAAACAGAAGCATGATCCCATCAACAGAATGACTAACGGTACGTATACTTACACCTTAATCTGGTTCCTGCTCCGAATTTTTCTCATTCTGCATAAACGCCAACTGGATGTGAAGCCACGTTTCTGTATGCAATCAGCTCATTTGTAAAATCAAATTCATCAACACAAACAAAGAGTCCCTCCAATTTGATTTTCTTACTTTGTGGCACCAGTGGGAGATGTTCGTCTGCAATCGAACATATCACACCAACTCTGTGCTACCGAGGTAGTACGTCTAAATGCATCTGCAGGAACCACAGAAACCTGCAACCAAAACAAAGTCAGCTGCCTCTTCAGTGGGTTATTAACACTCTGTCAAACCCATATACAGTTTTTACGGCTTCCAGATGACTTGCGACCTGTCTGAAGGTGAAGCTCGCCAGCTCAGATTCTCACTTCTTTATTTTACGCAGTGCCAAAAAACCCATTGGTCTGAAGTGGACGTCTCATTCCAGCTCAAACTGGCATCTCTGCGGGAAAAATCCAAACAACATTTTTCCTCTCTCTCATTCGCTCATCCTCTTGCTGGAGGACAGAGCTGCCGCTGAATAGGACAGTGGGGAGTAACGGTTCACGAGGGGCTGCTGGAAGTGACTTTAATGTCATGCAGGAAGTGGGGAGCTAGAAAGAGCCGAGAAGTGGAAGGGAGGAGGAGGAGGAGGAGGAGGAGGAGGGTGCATGATGGTGGCTTTGGCCCCCGGGAAGATGCATCAAAGGAGCATTTGTCGCAGAGACCAGCTGGGAGTATAATCAGAGAAAGAGAACTGGAGTTAGTGTGTGCGCATGTGTGTGTTTGAATGGGTAGAGTGGAAGGGTTGCATCAGTGGTGACAGATGAACCGGCTTCCTGTGGAATGAATATAGGGCATTCATCAGAGTGCAGCTGTTTTCTCTCCCGTGCTGGCGGTGTGTGTGCATGCGGCGAGTTGTTTTTTTCTGTTTTTTTGAGGGCACAGTTGTTGCAGGTTTCAAGCCCAAATGGATGAATGAAACTCTATCGTTCTTTGGGCACCTGTGCCAAGTGACATCGTCTAGCAGCTGGATCTGGAGTGTCAATCGGCCTTCGCTGAGAGAGAGAGAGACCCACAGAACAGCAGCATGGGGTTTATTTATGTTGAGACAGGGAGGGATCAGTATCATTTCTGTCTGTTTTGGATATCCATCATTCGGTACTGTAAAACACATGCGACCATGTCGTCTATCTTTCCAGGAAAAGCTCTGGAGGACATGTCACATGATCTCCGGGTTCAAATGTCAGACTTCAACTGAAGATTTTATTGTTATTTGCCAGTAACCGCGTCGAATAAGACAGGTCAGCTGCTAGTCGATGGGTGGGTCGCAGGCACGCCGACACGCAAATGTCACTATAAAAATCAAATCATCTGTCACATCGTTCCAGCTCGGACCAAATGATGAATCTTCCTCAGCAATCTAGCAGGCTGCCCCGCTGCTTTGCTCTGTTTCTGCGCTGAGCGATCTAGACAGGTGTGAATACTGCGGGCCTGCTGTGTCACCTAATGCTGACAGAGAATGTCTAACAGGTGTGTGTCTGCCTGTGTGTGTGTGTGTGTGTGTGTGTGTGTGTGTGTGTGTGTGTGTGTCATTTCATCTGTCCGATCTGTCACCGTCTGTCCCTGCTGACTGCATGTCCCCTCCCCTCCTCTCCTCCATCACAACAGTTTAATAACTAAAAAAACCCACTTGTGACATACTGCATGCCACATTCATGTCAGGTTGGATTTACTGTAAATGTAAGTTGTGGTGGTGGACCAGAAAATAACAGGTTGTGTCAGCCACAACTGTGGTAAATGCATGTACGGGACTTTTTGCTGCCAGCGAACTTTTCTGTGATTGAGGAGATGTGTCAACACGGTGAATCATCGGGCATCAGCAGTCTGAGATAATAAGAAGTGGAGTCAATTTAAGTGTCAGCAGGTGAAATATCTTTCAGAAGAAGCCTCTCCCCTTTCAGGAAATAGAACTAAGCACCTTTGGGAGCGTTGTGCAAGTGGTAATCACCACAGCTGAATGCTGAGAGTTCCTAACTGTCCTGGTGGCTTCAACCCAGCGGATGATGTGTAACCTCAGATTCTGAGCACCAGCAGTTTGCCTTTTAGTGGTTAATGACTCTTGGTAACCATCTAATCCATATTATTGTGGTCCTGAGACAACACCAAGGTGACGATGAAGAACAAGCTGCAGTTCCTTTATGATGCTTTTTGTTGTTTCTGGTTCCAGTCTAGCAGAGTTCATTACAACGCTCTGATTGCATTACTCTAGAGACAATCCAGTGATTCTGGCCTGTAGGCCAAACAAATAACATGAAAAAACAAAGTCTAACATAGCATTCATACAGGAAATGAACATAGTAGAATCAGCATTGTGGGGATGTTTTAAAATCTTAAATATTTAACATTTAAATGTAAGTCACTGAGACTGTGCTGACTCCAGTTGTACTACCACTATTAAAATAGGTGCCTAAGCTGCTCTTGAGTCTTAAATTGGATGTTTTCCAGTGTTTAATACGCACATATCTGCCTGCATCTCCTTCCCCGTGCTGCCAAGCCAGAATGTACAATATTGAATGGTGGTACTGTGAAGCTGAATGCAGCAGCTAATGAGATTAGCTACACCTCTGCTTTTCCTGCTATGATGTGTCAAATTGTGTGATGCGAGGAAGACGTATGGTCCACGTTAAATTTGTTTTTGCCGGTTTAATAGATAGCAAAGCAGGGATGTATTGTGTGCAGCAGGGTCAACAAGCTCATCTGGAAAGCTGGTTTCTGTCCTATAGGGAAAAGGAGCTGGAGTCTGTGGTGGAGGATGCTGAGAAAACTGCTCAGTATTGTGGACAACAATCTGCAGTTTGACTTTTTTCAATAGTTTGTGCAAAATCAATTTCATTGTGTTGCAATATTTCAATTTCATGTCCAATATTTCATTTTGATATAATGATGTAATGTTGTAATGTTACTGAACTATATAGGTCATTACAAGCATTACTTTTCTATTTTTGTCTCATTTTAGTTTACCTACTTTAATTTCAGTTATGTATCATTATTATATCTTACTGCTTTTCCATGAGGCACTGCATTTATTCTCAAGTTATTTTCTGAGCAACATCTGCCACAAGAATTTTACTCAGGATAAATAAAGTTCAATCCTATCTTATCTTATAGGTCCCATATTATACTCTTTTTAAACAAGTTAATGTAAGTCTCTTAATGTTTCCAGACTGTGTATGTCCAGTCGCCGCTCACAATACTGCACCTCTTTTCATTTTTGCCTTGTTTCAGAAACACTGTTTTAGTGTTTGTAGCATAACATCCAACCGAGTTATTAATGCCACGTGTGATTGGCAGAGTGAAGCCCAAAGGAGGAGAAGGAGGACGGTCCAGATGTGGGCGGGGCTTACCTGTTGTGACATCACAACAAGCTGCAAACCTGAATAATTTCTTCAGAGGCAAACTTTCCGATCTGTGGAGAAAGGAGGGAAACTGCATGATGGTCTTTCATTACGTTTTGTGGGTGGGTCTCTGAAAACACTGGGGACACATAGTCATGCTCCAAAAACAGGATTTAGTTTTTTTCAGTTTTGAGGCTCCGCAAAATACTAAGGCCTTAAGCAGTCTACAAGGATCACAGCTCAGGAATTTTAAAGTTAATTAATATTGAACTAGAATGAATACATTGATCATCTCATTAAAATGCAATGTTCTGCTGGGAAATCTTAGGTCCTGGCATTCACGGAGATGCTACTTTGACACCTGCCGCCCACTTAAACATTGTTCTAGATCAAACTCCCCACGGTGACTGTATTTCCCAACTACAGTGCAGACAATGCATCCTACGACGTTTCAAAAACTGCAGCTTTAAGAACATGATAAAGAGCCCAAGGCATTGACCTGGACTCTAAACTTCCTGGATT